CTGTGATTGGTTGGGGTGAGAGAAGGAAGACAGGATAAAGACATGCTGTGGAAGAGAGACAGAGGTTAATAACAGATATGATTCAGTGCAGAGAGGTCTGTTAACACATAGTGAGTGAAGAAGAAACACCCAGTTTCCTCTTTTTGGTTTTTCAGAATTGCTTTGAGGATGACTGAAAGTTTTTTTCCATGGTCTCACCAAACTCATTACACGCACAAGTTTTTGCATCTGTGACTGCCAAAGCCACACTCTGCTGTGTCTGCTGGTACCCATCACCTACTTCCAAAGTCCCACAGGCCAAGACACTTTCAGCCTGATGGCTCCCTTCATCTGCCGTGTCCATCATTTGGTTCGGGGATTGCCACCTTGCAGCTACAGCTCAGTGCAGCAGCTTCAGCCTACCCTGAAATGCAATTGAACCTCTGACATTCCCAGGGATACAAGAATACCCACCCCACCTCCAGACTGGAACAGAGTCCAGCCCGTCCCCAGGAGACTGGTTTCAGAGCCTGAGATGTGTGTTGAGATGAGCCCAGCTATTTCTAGAGTCAGGCTCTTTCCTCACCAGAGAGCAACTTCTACATGATGCAGTGCTACATAATGTCCACTGACTCTTAAATACATAAATAGTTTAAACTGATTTTGCTACAGTTTAACTTAGATCAAAGTGGTAAATGTCCAACCTTAACGAGCTCAACGTGTCTAAATTCAGACTAAAGTACTGAATTAACTGTAAATGTCACAGAAATCAGATTTATTAATATACCCACACTCTGTCTGAAATGATCTGAGATGTTTGTTTTCTTTCCCTTTGCAGATACCAAATACCAAAACACCATTTCACTCTGGCTGTAACCATCCCAAAACAACAGGACCCAAAAACACTTGAGGAAGTCCTTAAAGGCGACAAGCCTGATAATGTTAAAAAGAGTGTTTCCGAGAATAAAGTGTACGAAGGGACGAGGATGATTTTCTCTGTGCCCATAGGACCTGATCATGCAGAACGTTTAGTTCTGCAAAAGTTGTGCAGTCTAGTCAACTATGACTATAAAGATGACTTCCTCCTCATCTACTCTTATCTCTCCCCATGTAGCACATGCACAGACAGAAAGAGTAAATTTAACATCCTAAAACTGATTAAATGGGACGTTGACTATTGGACAGATGGAGCCTTTGTGTTTACAAAAGTTTTTGATGAACCAAAGTCTAAGGATCAACCCAGAGAGAGAGGAGATCATACACTCACTCTATGAGGTTGGGTGTTCGATGGGTGGTCTCAAATACATCTTTCGCTGTGATGTTACGAGCACTCCTCAGTTAGTGTGTCACAGCTGCGATGAAGGTTTCAGAGCTTCAGAGTTCTGTATTACTAACAGCCATCAGCCGCCACAGGCAGGAAGCAGTGGGACAAACACCCAGGGAAACTGAGGGAGGCTGAGTCTGAGGTCCACACTGACTCTCTTCATTGACAGTCTGGTGTCACCTGGTCTCAGGTGAGTCCTGCGAACCTCAGCACTGACATCTGTCAGTCACCAATAAGGAAGCTTTGTGCAGGATCACAGATGACATCACACTGTGTCGATGAAGCGTGTGTTTTCAGACAACTGCACCTCACTCACACCCCCAGACCCTCCACCTGTTCCCTCCACCTGTTCCCTCCACCTCATTTACTGTCTGAAAATGTCCAGAAGTCTCTGTGAAAGCAGACTGTAACTCAATGATGGCGTTCATGAATCATGTGACTGCCTGACTGTGAGGTGTTTGTGACCCCTCTGTGTTCTTTCAATAAAGCTCAGCATCCAGCCTGCTGCACGTGTCTTTTATTCTGAAGGAGAGCTTCACATGTTCAGCTTCCTCTTTATGAAACCCAGTGACTCTGAGCTTTTATTCTCTAAATCACTGAACAGAATATGCGAGCGATGCTTTTAAAGGACTTCACTGGTTTATGGAGGGAACTTGATGATGTTTAATCTTCATATGACAAAAATATGAAGCAGTATAAATCCACACACCTGACAGATCAACTTCCTGCATGCTTTAAACGATTTCTGTTCACACTCGTGTGACTTCCATAGTTTAAAATGATGAAACAGTAAATCAGTCTGTCTGAATCTCAGGCTGAGAGCTTCACAGCACGGCGGAGGAAGGATTATGTAAATGATTCCTCTGAGATCACAGCGTCACCACGTTTACATCAAACTGTGAGTGTTGCTGTCCTCACATTCACTCAAGTTAACGAAGGACTAATGAAATGCTGTGTAATGACAAATGCAGACATCCTACAGCGTGTGCGCGCAGTCTGACTGCAGACATGTACAGGGGGTTTACTAACGTGTGTTTGAGATCCTTTTATCTTATTGGATAAAACAGACACGAAGTTTAACTTTGAGGACGTGATCTGAAACAGGTGAGAAACAAACTTCAGTTACTGCAACACTCACACCTGTGACGACTGATACTCCTAATACTACTACAGGAAGCTAACAGTTAAGATTTAAGAGATTTAAGATAAAACTTTATTAATCCCTCGGGTAGGTTCCTCTGGGAAATTTGTTTTCCAAAAAGCACAGCACCGACAGAAGTTACAGAGTCAAGAATATTATATATATATATATATATATATACACACACACACATATATAAATACAAAGACATATATAGATAAAATATACAAAGGGGATAAA